GGAAGGATTTATTGCACAGATTTAAAGAAAAGTGTTAACAGATCCAGATGCTCTCATTTCTTTTCATTGTATCTTGCATCAGCAAAATCTCTGTGCTCAAGCTACTATTTTAAGTGACACTTCACAACAAGTTATAAGTATTGTTAACTATATTCATGCAAATGTAACATGATATCATCAGTTTCTTTCATAACATGCTAAAGTTGAACAATGAGATATTCAGTGCGGATTTGCCCTATGATTCTAAAGTGTGTTGGCTATCGCAGGGACAGGTGTTAGCCAAAATTTTATCTCTGCAAGAACAGATAGTTAGACTTTAAGATGAACAGAATCAGCAATGTGACTTATTGAAAGAAGATTTTTATAGGAATGCAGCATTTCTGTGTGATATGTCAAATCAAAAACACTTGAATCTTTCTTTGCATGGTAAAACTAAGTCTATATATGATACGTGGCAAAAAAATCCAAGCATTTTGAAACAAGCTATCTTTTTTCAAAACACTTCTTCTTCAAAAGGAAATTTTGGATGAACATTTTTGCCAGTTAGCAAAGGCCACTGATAAGCAGGATGATAAATGCGACTCATTTGAAGAATACGCAGCTGTTACAGACCTATTAATTGGAGAACACAATGAAATGTTCACTGACTTTGAGAATCATGATACCACATTCAAATTAGCATTTCAGCCTCACCTAGTTGATATCACTGAGGCACCTAATGAACTACAGATGGAATTGATTAAGCTTTCAGTAGATCACATTTTAAAATCATTGTTTGATGCTAAGAAAGATCCAATTGGATTATGGAAAAATGCAGTAGAATACTCACGCCTTCGGCAACATGCCTGAAAAACGGTTTCTTGCTTTTCAACCACTTATTGCTGCGAATCTACATTCTCATACCTAACCCAAATCAAGATGCCCTTAAGGTCATAAATGACTGATACCCATCTAGAGGATCAACTGAAACCGTGGACCTCCATGCTGCCACCAAATATGCCAACGCTTTCCAACAAAAAGCAGACACAACAAAGCCATTACGAGGTTAGTGAACTTTAAAATTAACAAATAGTTTTCATTTTTTAAATTATTAAGTACATAGTAGTTACATTTTTACAAAATAATGGACATTTTTAAGTATATCTAATTGAAGTTTGTTGAATGTGGCCTTATTTGATTATAGCTAAATTAATGCAGCCTTCCAACATGAAAAGGTTCTCTACTCCTCACTTACGATATTATGAGCTCTTCCACAAGGAATCATGTCTTTGCTAACGTGAATTCTATCTCTTCCCACCTCACTGTCTAGCACAGTTTCCATCCATAGTGGTTTTATACCAATTTTTTGTTAAAAGATGTGAATCTTTCCTCAGTGACAGCTATTCCTTTGACAACAGCTGTCCACGCATGGTTCTATCTGGAATATTCCCTTCTCGGTCCACACCTCTCACAGGACCACCCAGGGACGGGGCTGCAGCTCCACTTGCCCCTTTACCTTCTAGCTGTTCTCACCTCCCTGTTTCTCTACCAAGTGGCCAAAGGTCCCCATGAAAGCCTTTTCCTGCCCAATATCCTGAAGTTTGCAGTCTTCACATCAAGGTCAAATGCACGTGGCCTTAGAAAAGATTGTCAATTTCTCTCCACCATAATTTCCAAGATTGCAGAATGAGGATAAAAATAATACTAACTTCACAGGATTGCTGGGAGAGTAAAAACAAATGTGACGTCCTGTAAAATTTGTCTTTCCCATGAAATATTATACATCAGTGATTATAATGAATAAGCAGGCTCTCTCCACCTCACCCTACTTTGACTGGTTTCCAGGAAGTAAGCAGGACTTTAAAACACTGATCAGAATAATAATAGCAACTAACGCATCCTGAGCATTTTCTCCCTGCCAGGAATGGTTCTAAGAGCTTTATATGACAACTCATCTAATCTCTACAAGAACTGTATGTAGCAGAACATAGTTCATCCCCATTTTCCAGATGAGGAAAAATAAGGGCATAGAGAGATGAAGTGACTTCCCCAAGGTCAGGAGCCAGAACTGAAAACTAGAAAGCTTGACCCACGGCCACTCTGTTGTGTTAATCCCTTTGCCGTATCGTTCCACTTGCTCACATTCCCTGCGACGTCACGTGAGACAAATCACAGAGGTGCAGTGGGCCACAATGAATAAGATATCACGTGGAAGTTATTAAGTGACTAAAAATGAAGTTTGCACTCTCGTGGAAATGCTCGTGAATTATAGTTCAGCTTGGGCGTCACACTCCAAAATCAGAACTTACTCCACTGTGTCTGGGTAGCTGCATTTCCAGCATCTCGGCGCGGCCAAGCACCTGGGCGGTGCGGACTCACCTGAACTCAGCGCATGCTCCACTTCCTGCACGATCGCCCTGGGGAAGGCGGTGGTGGTCTCCGCGTCCATCGGCTCGCACATCGCCTTGCCCGACGCGGTCGCTGGGGGCGTCCTCTCCTGGGGCCCCGGCTCCACCGCGGTGTGCGCAGCGGGGCTGTGGCCAGAGCTGGGCTCCTCTGTCGGGGGCCCCGGTGCGGTCGGCGCTCCGGTGGGCTGCGTGCCGGTCGCGGGGGAGCTGTGGTTGGCGGTGACGGGCGCGGAGGAAGCGTCAGGTGGCGAGGGCGGCAGGGATGCGGGCGGCGAGGCTGGAGCCGGAGGGGAGGTGGGCGCGGGAGGCTCGGCCGGGGGCTGCGACGCTGTGGGCGGCGCGCTCGCTTCGCTCGCGTCCGCGCCGCGTTCCCCGGGCGTGACTGTCAGGGGGACCCCGCCGCTCGTTGGCGGGAACCCGGGAGGAGCCGGGGCTGTGTCTGTGCCTTCCCAGCTGGGAGCCGTTCCGGTGGTCTTCTCTCCCCGGGGCTCGACGGAAGTGGTGTTGGGAAGCGGCGACGTCGGGGCCGGGGCCGGGGCTGAGGGCGCCGCGGTGCCGTGGAGGCCGCCGGCTGCGGAGGCCGCGGCCGCGGCGGGCGTCTGTGGAGAGTCGGTCCCGACGGCGGGCGGCGGGGCGCTCTTCGCCGGCAGAGACGCAGGCGAGGGGGCCGACGTGGGCGCGCTCTGCACGCTGCACCCTGCGGAAGAGCCGGCACAAACGCGGTTAGTTCGTGACAAGGGAAACTGAGGCGAGACGGCTGCCCTGTGGCTGCTTCACGATATGTTCACAGGCATTTCCCATTTTGCACCGTGCCCTCCCTGGTGGTGACGGTGACTTTACCATTTTTTCTTCCCGCTAATTGCTCTCGTCTTGCGAGTCTCAGAAGGAACCAGCCCGGAGGCTCCGTCAGAGAAATTAGCGGGTCTGTCAGCTCAAGACGAGCCAGAACGTGGTAGGAACTGATCCTGTCCCCTGCTTGCTTAAAACCGTGTCCTTAGGGAATGGGCACTCGGGGGGAACTGATTTATGGGCATTTGTCTGGACTGCTCAGGGGCAGCGCCACGACGCCGCGGAATGCAAGGCCGCGTGTGGGGACAGGGCAGGGGCCTGGTGAGGAATGTGGTGCCAGGAAGCTCCGGGCTTCAGTCCTGGTCTGCTCCACAGCTGAAGGGCTCCCTGATTGGCTGCTCCTTGCCAGAGGAGTTCCCTGATTGGCTGTTCCCTGCCAGAGGAGCTCCTTGATTGGCTGTTCCCTGCCACAGGAGCTCCCTGATTGGCTGTTCCATGCCAGAGGAGATCCCTGATTGGCTACTCCCTCCCAGAGGAGCTCACTGGATTGGCTGCTTTCTGCTTTCAGTGCTATCTGTTCTGCACTTAAGCCCAGGGATGCAAGGGCTATGGGCCTGCCCGCTGGGATGGAAAAACTATGTGAGCGCATTTTCTTCTGAGGAAGGAAAAGGGGAGGTCCCAGGATAAAAGTTGGAAGGAGTCATCTGAGGTTTGGAAATATTTTCTGAGACTGGAAACCAGTTGTCCCAAATTCTAGCCTGAGGTCCTTATCATCATGTCATTTTGCCAAATGTTCTCCTTCGTGTTTTCTAAGATTTAGAGCTGGTTTCCTTTCTTCCTTCCTCGCTCCCTCCGTTTACCCGTTCCGTTTCATTCCTTCACTGGTTCGTCATTATTTGATAAACGGTTGCCATGAGCTAGTACTGGGCTTAGGATTTCACTTTCTAGTAACACATCTCTCGATGGCCCCCCACGCCGCTTCCACCATCCCCCAACGAGCTTCCGCCCCGCCCCCAGCAGCCTTTCCCATGTCGGCAGAGGGGGCCGCATTCGCTGAGCTGCCCAGTTAAGAACCGAGACATCGCCCTTCGTGCCTCTTTCCCTCACACCCCACATCAAATCCTTAGCGAGTCATGATGACTCTACCTTGAAAATACGACCCCAGTCCAACCACTTTCCACCACCGCCCCCGTTATCTCAGCGTCACCCGAGCCACCGCAGTCACTAGCCTAGACCATTGCAATAATCCTAGCTGGGCTTCTGGCTCCAGGTTTCCTCCTTTCCAGGCTGCTTTCCGATCTCCTACAGTGGTAAGTCAGATGCTGGTCTTCCACTGATCAAAACCCTCCGAAGGCGTCTGTCGCACTTAGAACAAAACCCAGAATTGCTTCTCTCTGTCATTCCACTGTTCTCATCATTCTTTTTTTTTTTTTTTTTTTGAGACAGAGGCTCACTCTTTTGCTCAGGCTAGAGTGCCATGGCGTCAGCCTAGCTCACAGCAACCTCAAACTCCTGGGCTCAAGCGATCCTCCTGCCTCAGCCTCCCGCATAGCTGGGACTACAGGCACGTGCCACCATGCCTGGCTAATTTTTTCTATTTTCAGTTGTTTGGCTAATTTCTTTCTATTTATAGTAGAGACGGGGTCGCTCTTGCTCAGGCTGGTCTTGAACTCCTGAGCTCAAGCAATCCTCCCGCCTCAGCCTCCCAGAGTGTTAGGATTACAGGTGTGAGCCACCGCGTCGGCCTCTCCTCATCATTCTGATTGGTCTCTACTCGAATATCACCTCCTCCTCAGGGGAGTCTTCCCAGACAATCCTAACTAAAATCCTTGCTACTCCAGCCCCTGGGACATTTAAAAAAATATTTCTTAAAAATTTTTGTTGTGGTAAAATATACATAACACTTACCATTTTAGCCGCTTTTAAGTGTATAGTTCAGTGGCATTAATTATATTCATATTGCTGTGCAACCATCATCATTATTCATCTTCAGAATATTTTTATCTTCCCAAACTCAAACTCTGTGCCCACTAAACAACAACATTCCATTCCCTCTCTCCCCAGCCCCTGGAAACCACCACTCTGCATTCTATTGTCTCTATGAATTTGACTGTTCTAGGTATCTCATATAAGCAGAATCATACAATATTTGTCCTTTTATGACTGGCTTATTTCACTTAACACAATGTTTGCAAGTTTCATTCATGTGATAGCATGTGTCAGAATTTTCTTTCTTTTAAAGGCTGAATAATATTCCATTGTATGTATATATCACATTTTGTTTATTCATTTGCCCATCCATGGACGCTTGGATTGTTTCCACCTTTTGGCTATTGTGAATAATGCTGCTATGAACATGGGTGCACAAATGTCTGCTTGAGTCTTTGCTTTCACTTTTTTTGGGCATATTCCCAGAAGTGGAATTGCTGGATCGTATGGTAATTCTATGTTTACATTTTTGAGGAAATGCCATCCCATTTGCTCATTTTTGTTTTTTGTGATGCTAGTAGCATTTTCCTAAAATTCCATATTTATTTATTTACTTATTTGTTATCTCTCTTTTACCAAAATGGAAGCTCAATGAGGGCACAGTGACCTGGTCTTATTCATTGCCGTTTCCTCTGAGCCTAGGATAGAGCTAGGTCATAGTAAGTGCTCAATAAGTACTTGGAAGAGGAAGGAAGGAAGAGTGGAAAAATGAATTAACCTAAGAACTTTATTCACAAATACTCTCAACATTTCTCCACATATCACTTAGTCATTGCCCCATCCATCATGGCTTCCTTAGGTAGAGCTGCCTACCTGGTGTTACTTGAGGGCGAAATCCTCACTTAAAGATCAGCTTTACTCTTTGTCATTCCAACACGACTTATGCCTATGGCCGATGTCTTGTTAGGTCTTCGACGTTTTAACTCAGCATACTGTGAGGAGAGTTCCTTGGAGGTGGCATATAGGTAAAGGCCAAGAATCATCAACTGTCAGAAGGAATAGAACATGGGCTAGATGCCAGCACAGAGGAAGGGAGACAAGACCAAAGGGAGGCATTCGGGTTACCTCACCATGCTGCCACACAGCAGACTCAGGAGCCGATGGAAAGTTGTGCTACAGAGTTTATCCTGAATTTAACATTTGGATTCTCATCAAAATAATTGATTTTATTTTATTTAAAAGGGGTTGGCCAAGACCATAAACTACAGGAGAGTTACTTTCCTAGTAAACAGGAGGACAGACCTCCCCACTTAGGCCACATAATATTCCTGGTCTTTTGGCAGCTGTGAACTATCAGTAGTTTCAGGATGAATACAGACAAGAAATCTTTGAAATATGGACAAACCAAAAGTTGGTACAAATATTATTAAAATACTGGATCTTTATATGTGACCTTTGGAGCTTACTGGTTTTGCATTCTGGCAGCTCCCAAGATCGAGTAAAGATTTTTTTTTTTTTTTTCAGAGATGGGGTCTTGCTATGTTACCCAGGCTGGATTCAAACTCTTGGGCTCAAGTGATACTCCCACCTCAGCCTCCCAAGGAGCTGGGACTACAGGTGTGCATCACTGCATTGAGACTGTTTAAAGATTCCAAGGGCAAAAAATGACAATGTTTAACTATTGCTCACAGCATCATATAATAGATAGGCAGATGGAGGCATAAAATGCCTCAGTCTGATAGTCAAATCGAAGAGTCTTTGGAAACCTGAGATAAATGAGGAATAGGTCATATACAAAGGAGCACCAATTTATTCATTCATTCAAGCATCTATTGAGAAGCTTCTACATCAATAGCTTTGCCCTCAGAAAGTTCACTATCTAGTAAGACAGAAAGGATCCCCAACTTCCTGTTGTATGATGAGATAAGTCCTAGCTGAAAGTAAAGTCAAGTTTTAATGGGAACCCTGAGGAAAGATTAATAAATTTTGTATGGGGACCATGGAATGCAAAAATGCACAAATGTCGTTTTCAAATGACATTTACAAAAGTCAGAGAAGAGATGACATTTGAGTTGGTTCTGAAAAGAGTAAGAATGCACAAGATGCCACTTAAGATATACGATGTTCAGGGTGACAGCTGCATTTTCATTTCCAGGGGAGCTAAAAGCTGTGCCGTGGAAATCATTACAGTGCTGAAGATGACATGCTCCAGGAATTGGTTTTGTTGCTGGAGACACCCATTTTCTTGTTTAATTCTTACTAATATACTTTAATAATTCCTATCATACCTGCTTCCAAAGAGGACTAGAGGTAGTCACTCATTTCCCATCGCTATCTACTGAGTACTTATTTAAAGAACTTTACAGTCTAGTTCAAGCAATTGCTACTCCTAACAAATTAACAATGCATAAAATGTGTGACAACATTGCTTATCTTCACTTGAGCAAGGCATTAAAGCCTCTGTGTTGCCCTATCTGATGTACATTCCATATTGTCCCGACTCACGGTGGGTCTTTTTTTGGCACAAAGATAGCCAAAGCTGAGGTGTCCTGACTCTCCTCGAGAATGCTTGCTGTGTTAGTCTACTTAGGCTGTCGTAACTAAATGCCATAGACTGGTGGCTTAAACAACAGAAACTTATTCCTCATAGGTTAGGAGGCTGGAAAATCCAAGATCAAGGTGCTGGCTGATTTAGTTTCTGGTGAGGGCCCTCTTCTTGGCTTGCAGATGGTCACCTTCTAGCTGTGTCCTCAAGTGGCCTTCCCCTCAGATGGTATGCGAGTGAAGATAGTGAGCTCTCTAGTGTTTCTTCTTACAAGGGCACACATCCCATCACGAGGGCCCCACCCTCATGACCTCATCTAACCCTAATTATTAATACATCCCAAGGCCCATCCTCAAATACCATCTCATTGGGTGCCAGAATCACTGAGATAGTCTGAGAAAATACGGTTTCTGCTTTCCCATAGGTAGGACTTGTGTTTTCGCAGGAATACCAAACTGTATAAGTCAAACAGGTAAGAATGTATATACTTTCTTGGGATTTCAAGGAAATTCTAGAGCTAGAGAGGGCCTGAGTGATGAGTGAGTACAACTCCTTATTTGATAAATAAGGGGACAGGCACGGGGCGGGGAAGCGATGCGATTGACCGTACACGTCTAAGGGGAAGAACTGCACAGCGTCTGCCCAGAAAGAACCGTGCAGGGACAGAGTCACACCAGAGCTCCCACCCTCTGACCGCCACTGACACACAGTGCCCAGCCTCAGAAAAGCTGCCAGGACTTTAGCAGTCACATTACAGAGCAAGCCGGGGGAGCCTACGTGAGACTGGGCAGCTGGATAAGTTTAAAAAAATGTAGTGCCCTACACGCCTTCCCACCCAAGGGAGAACCACTTTCCCTTGAAGCAAAGAATTAAGTGTTAATATTTCCTTGAGAAACCAGCATGAAGAAATTGAATCCATTGACTGCTCAGAGGTGAATGAGCATTGTGACGTTGCCAGGTATGGGGAGCCCCACCCGGGCAGTGACACACCAGTCATGAGACGCAGCAGGGAAGGGAATCTCTGCCGTTCACCCCCCACGATCACCAGCGTAATCTGAAATTCCTCCTTGTAAGTTTACAAATGGCAGTCCTCCCTGAAGTTTGGTGGGGTTCAAGCTTTTCTGTTGCAAGAATAGCTGACAGATTGCTGCTCTGAAGGAAAGCAGATTCTTAGTTGGACAGAAAATTATTTGTTTCCATGTGTGTTGTCCTTTATGGGGGGGCAACAGGACCAGTATTACAGTTGACATGTCTCTGATATTTGAAAGAGCTTGTCTTTGGCTTGATCCCCAGTTTCTTGCCTTGCTGGGAACAGGGATGTGGGGCTAAGAGGTATTCCAAGGCACGGTAGGGCAGAGTCTGCCCTCTGTGCCTCCTGACCTGACCGGGCAGCGGGAATATACCGGTCAACGAGCGCCCTGAGCTCTGTTACCTTTCCCTGGATTCCATGAGCCGCAGCCTGGGCCACTGCCAGGGTCCCAGGCAGCCTGATTACCTGTGTTGCTCACCTATTTTTTTTTTCCTCTAGGCCATGTCCTTCCCTGCTCTCAGCTTGTCAAGCACCTGAGAAAACATGTGACAAAACTTTGGCAAATCTGGTGAAACCTGATCAAAATGCAGTCAAGCCCTCTCATGCCACTGCCAAGTCGGCCAGGAGCGTCGCCTGTGGTCTCCTGGCAGAGGCCCTGTGGCTGCTGAAGTCCGCACGGCAAGTAATTGCTAAGTTACTCCGACAGCCGCCACGGTGAGTTTCCAAAAAAGCCAACGGGGCCTTTTATGATATGTATTAATACGAGCGCTGAGCACTCTGCATGCATCATCTCAGTTCACTGTGATAGGACCTCTCCGAGGTAGGCGCTATTGTTACTTTGGTTCACAGACGATGAAACAGAGGCTCAGAAAAGTTCAGTGATTTCCCTGAGGTCTCACAGCTGGTACCTGGTACAGCAGAAACTTGAACCTGAAACTGTCTGGCTTTTAACCACTCATTACCTTTTAACCGCTCCATGGTATCAAACTGGGAAGTGCAAGGGTGTTTTTGAAGTCTGGGCACCATGGTTGTACGACAATCAATCCCCAGTTTGCTTCTATCTTCCCTAATAAATTCTCTAGCGTGGGCCACTAGCCTGATCTTTAAAAAGTTATCTGACTATAGAAACCCTTCCCTTTTCCTTTAACCCTAATGTCCTCGGGATAAATCCTGAACTCCCTGGCCCAACACGTGACACTTTTTGTGGTCGCCCCAGCTCACCCCTCACGAGTCCTGCAGTCTTGCCAATCTGAAATGCCTTGTGTTGCCGAACTAGCCCCTGCCTTTGGACCTGCTTTCCTTCCTACCCCGCCTCCTTTCTCTGCGACTCCCGTCTCGCCATCCCAGTTCTGAGAAACCTAGAGCCTGACCTTCTCTAGGAAATACTCTCCAACCTGCAGGAGCTTTTCTCCTGCGTGTGGCCACAGCACTTCCCGCAGGCTCCAACGCTAGCACACATTACCCTGAGCCACGATTTCTCTCCGTGCCATCTCCCATCAGGCTGGGAGAGCTGATCATAAAAACTGCACTTGTCTTTTGTGTCTTAGTGCCTGGCACAGAGAAAGTGCTCAATAAATACTCATTAAGTAAAAACATGGATTGTCTACTCTTTAAAAAACAGAAATGTTCTCTGGCTTATACGCTGGGTCATGCCAGCAGAAATGCAGCCTCCCTTTGATTTGTCTGTAAGTTCCATGAAAACGACCAGTTAACGTGAAAGTTTGGATGGGCCTCTAAACAGACTTGTTATTTTTGTTTGCTTGTTTTTACTTTGGAGACTGCAGGGATTTCCTCCCTTCATGCACGATACAGATCAGTCACCAGCCCTTGAAATGCTGACCCCCTATCGGTTGGCCCTAACACAGGCTAGTCTTAACATTCCCACATTGAATTTACTGAACTTCAGCTAGCGTTTAAGAGAATGAGAAAGAGAGAGAGACGGAATCTTAAAACGATACATATATTTTTTAATATCCAAGCTAGGATTTAGTGTTCTTTAGGCTGAATGAAGCCACCATTTGGGACCCATACACCTACAAAAGTTCGCCATGTTCTCTTTAATTGGGGCTGCTAAGGGCACCCAACGCTCCAGAAGGCTCATCTAACATCTGCAAAACCATTACTAATTAGAGTGTGGTCCAACCATATGGTATTTGAAAGCTATCATATGTCAAGACAGAATGCGAATGCGCCAACGCCATCGAACTGTGTCTAAGAAGATACTTGTTTGAAGTAGAAAAGCCATATTCTCTCTTGAGTATTTAGTTTACAAAAATGAGATATAATTCAGTCCAAGAGGAGGAGAGAGCTTCTGTTTTCTAGCTACCGAATCAGAACCTGCAGACCTGGTATCTGACTCGATGTCTCCATCCATGAAATCAGTGCTAACGATGTCACCGGGCTCCCTGCAGGTGCCGTGAATGCTAATGAGAGAATATCATTTGTGAAGGATGGTGTACTTCCTGGGGGAAATATACCATTTTCCTTTTCTCTTTTTCTCAAAAGCAACATCTGTCTTTGTCAGTCAAATGCCCCTCGAAACTCCCTCCCTCTAGTTTGGGAGGGACTCCTTCTCCCAGGAGACGCTGTGCTGAGCAAGGGGGCCAACAGCCACCCGAAATTCCCAAGGGCCCATGTTGGGCTTCCTTAGGGTGGGCAGTGCAGAGAAAGAGGACAGTGCAGGAGGGCAAGTAGCTTCTCTTCCCTCCCTTCGTGGTTGGAGGCGGATATGGGCACAGCTATGGGAAGGGAGAAGAAGAAGCCCTATAGCCTCGTGCGTTAGCAGGGGATTTTTTGAAGAACATCAGGTTTTCCAGTACGCACCCTCCATAGGCCAAGTGCCAATATCTGTGGGGTCCAGGGCGAAAGTACATATGAAGGCCCATGCAGAGAATGTCTAAATATGTAACTTATAAATTAAGATATGCCCACGGCCCATTCTGTGCTCAATCCAGGGCCCTGAACCCACTCCCAGGGGATCCCTCTAGTAACTCCAGGCTAATGGGACCAGGGATCTGCTGGGGCACTGGAGCCCAGGATGGAGACTGAGCAAGGCAACTTTGGTGGGTGGTCTCCTTTTGCCATGTCTCACTCTTTGGGCAGGATTTTCAGACATTTCCAAGCACAGGGGAGTGAAGGAACACAGGAAGTACTTTGGGTGATTTGCGGGTGACCAGCCTCAAACAAGGGCAGCTGTTCTGTTCTGGTTCCCTAGAGCTGCTGCTGTGATTCCTTTCTCCCAGCACTCACTTCTGTGCCTGTAGGCCACACCTTGTGGCCTGGGGGGGTCCAGTTTAGCTCTTGTGTCCCTTTCCTGTTTGCTCAATCAGTTACTGAAATTTTTAAAAAATCTCTCAAAGAATGGGGAAAAAAGTCTCTGTGATTGGATGTTGGTGAAATGCAGAGAGGTCTCTTGCCTGGTCAAGGGGTGGCATACCCTGCCTCCCACCCCCTAGAGCCCCAGATCACAATCAAGTCATTTCTCATACCTTGTCACTCCGGAAAACAATCAGAACTTAACGAAGCCCATAATAATGACTTGTTCTGATTCTGAACCTCTTCCTTCTGAGGATCTTTTCCAGGCTTAGAGTCGCCCACACGACGGAGGCTGCTCTGGCGCAGTAGAGCCCCATTGCCTTTGCAGCCTAAACGCACTTGTCCACTCCTTTTCCTGCTTCATCTCCAGCTCGTCTGACTGCCCCATCCATGAAGCCCTGTTCCACAGACAGTTGGGGCTCCTGAAGTGAGCCCCACGGCACTCTGCCTTTGGGAGGACAGCTCCCAGGGGCATCACAGGCGGATGCATCCTGGCAATCTTACAGATGAATTAGCAGGCGGCTTGATTGATGACAGGGTTAGTGTCCATGAAATGTGATCAGACTTTGTATTCCCATTGGCCTCACCACCGAAGTCCACCATTGACCATCCGGGGGCGCCCAAGAGGGCAGGGACAGCTCCAGGGCAAACATGTCTCCACCACTGGGAAGATGACTCAGAGGATGTTTGCTCTGATGGGGGAGAGGGCCCCCCCTCTTGCTTGCTGACAAACAACCTGTGGTATTGGTGAGCCGCTTTCTCTTCCTGCCGCCACTTTCTTCTAGGGTTTCAGCCAAAGATACCAACATGAATGGCTGTGCTTCATGGTTTCTTTCTTTATTTTTATCTACTTTAAAAACTGAAATATAACTTACATGCAGTAAAATGTACACATCTTAAGTGTACAACTCAGTGACATTTTACATGTGTATAAACCTCTGTTTCCACCACGCAGAGCAAGACATAGAACGTTGCCAGCACCCAGAATGTTCCCTCCTGTCCTCTCACAACATAACTCCCCAAAGGTAGCTTTTATTCTGAATTTTATCACTACAGATTAGTTTTTCCCATATAGCCTCACACAAATGAAATCATGCTGTGTGTGCTCTTACGTCTGGGTTCTTTCACTCACTGTGAGCCTCACCCATGTCATTGTGTGTATTACTAACTTGTCATTTTTCACTGATGGATTGTATTCAATTGTGTGAATATACAACAATTTATTTTCCCATTCTACTGATGATGGACATTTGGGCTGTTTTCAGTTCAGGGTTATTACAAACAAAGCTGCTTGTTTCTTAGTAATACTTTTCCAATGCTTGTTATATGCCAGATTCCGGGTACTTCACAAGTATTAAGTCATTTGATTTTTACAATAAACCTACAGTAAGTATTATTGATATTTCCATTTTACAAGTGAGTGAACTAAGGCAAAAAGAGGTTAAATAACATCCCAAGATATACAACTAGAAAGTAGGACACCTTGGATTCAAACTCTAGAAGGAAGTCTGTCTCTAGCTCTAGCTCTCGCCCTCTTAACCACCATGCTATAGCGTAGCCTGTAATGGTTAAAACTATAATATAAGCCAAACCACTTATTGGCTGTATGACCTTGGACAAGTTCCTTAACCATTCTGTTTCTTCATCTACAAACAAGATAACAACAGTATCTCCATTCAAAAAATTACTGTGAACATTAAATAAATAATCCATGTAAGGCAGATACTGTTGCTTGGCTAATCCAACAGCCGTTTCCACTCCCCTTCTTGCCTGCCTCCTTATGGAGACTATTAATATAAAAGCTGAATGCTCCCTTCTTAGCCTTTGTTGTAGCTTTGGGATGTCTAAGGGTTGCCGTTCTGTGCAATGAGACTGATGGAACACAGGAACATTCTGGAAAAGTGTTAGCCTCCTTATAAAAGCAACATACAGGAAAGGGGGCTCTCTTGGTGACTACTCTTTCCTCCTCCTTCCTGTCTTTAGTGCAGCTGTGATATCTGGCACAGTGGCAGCCATCTTGTGAAGCCAAAGATGAAGGTCTACTCACTGAGGATGATGAAAGTGAGAGAGAGAAAGGGCCTTTCCCCTTGAAGACACTGCTGATCTACCAAACCAGGCCTGGGATGCCTATGACTTCCTGTTAGGTAAACAACTATACGTTGTGGATTAAGGCGCAGTTGGTCAGGTTTTCCATTACTTGCAAGATAAATGATAGACCGCGTAAAGAGCTTGTCACAATGCCTGACGCAGAGTAAGAGCTCGAAAAATATTTTGTTGACCTATGTCTACTTGGAACCTGGGCCCAAAAGCCCTCACCTCCTTTAATCTGCAAATGATTCTCAAAAGGTACTTTTCAGGCACTCAGAAGGAGATTAGTCCTGCTGGCATCAGCTGTGAGCCGCAGGGAGGGAGCACTTCCCACATCCTTTAATGAAGCAAGAGGAACTGGGTCTGCCAGCGTCCCAGAGGTGCTCTCCGGGCTGATGCCCATGAAAGCCGAGCTGCTTCGCACACCCACAGAACGTATCGGAAAGGGAGAGAGAAAAAGACAAAAACCCAGCTAAACGTGATTTGTACTTTTCCGCCTTATTAAAAAATTCGGAAACTTCTGGGGCAGTTTCGATATGACATGTATCAGACTGAGTGGCTCCAGCAAGCGAAAGCAGCAGAGGAAACTGCACTCAAGGACGATCAGGGACGCTCACCTTGTT